TAGGACACAAAATGCCAAATGGTTAAACAATAGAAACGGTCCTTTGATTAAATTCACTTTTTGACGTTGTCCTGAGGATACATAGGAGATGAATTTTTCAACAAAAAAAAAAAAAAACAGTTCGTTAAAAGATTCGAAACACGTGTAAGTCGACGCAGTTTTCGATGTTGATTCCGAATATGTAAAAAATAATTGAATGCCTTTACTTCTGAAACGGATAATAATATCTATCAATGTTATTATCCTGTTGGATCATCATACATGAGAATCGAAAAACTAACAGATCTTATAAGTCGTTCCTTCGTTTTCTCTTTATTTTGATTATTGAATATTTTTCAAACAAGCTTAAAAAAACAACTAAGTTTAAAATAATGTATTGATCGCAAAACAGAAAAGAAGAAATGTGAATAGACTGTTTAAACATCATTCATGTAAAAAAGATATAATAATAATAATAATAATAACAAAAAAAAATGACTCTAAAGAAAAGAAAAGTGACATATGTTATGAATTTCTCATCGTTCTAATCGCATTAACCTTGTCAAAAAAAAATGAATAGCGCTTATTTTTGTTTCTCATGATTATTATTAAAAATATTCATACATTTTAACTAGCATTGACTTTTGTATATCTATATATAGAAAATATTTATATAGATTTTTAACAATGATAAATAAGAAAAGACATATTGACTTTTTTTTTTCTATAATATTGAGTTTATTATTGAAAATTATTGTTCATAAATGATACTTAACCATTCAGATAATCAACTATTTTTGTTGAATTACTTCAATGGTTAATTATCAATGATTGAAAAGTTGATAAAACATGTCAAAAATATATCATCCTTACTTTAATGAATTGAATCGCTCAATAGACTTTTACAAGACTACAATTAAAGCTTCATATCAACATTTATTACTTGTTTGATGCTAGCTGGTACAAATACAAAATAGACGCAACAAAAGCCAAGTTGTGTTATTACAATAAATCCATCAATAACAAATCTTATTAGAAAAAAAGAAAATATATATATATACATACATATTTGTTTACAAAATATTTATATTTTTTACTTTCCCAATTTTGCATAACGATGAATCCATTTCCAACGACATGTTGCTAATGTATATCGCATAATATCTCCAAAATCACATTTTTCTCGTGATGTACTTAAAGAAAATTTTTTTTTATCGATTGATAATTTATATAAATTTTTGTTAATACATACATATATCGATAATAATCATGACATCGAAGAAGTTGATGCATACAATAAAGTGTCATTGCACCCATTATCCAAAAAGCAATAGGACCAAACTAAAATAATAATTAAATGAAAAATAAATTATGAAAATAGAGTTACCAATATTCCAGCTTTTGATAATGCATAAGGAAAAGCAAGAATACCGGCACCAATATTGCCTTTAATTAAATGCATTAATGTTTCTAAATTTCTAAATAAGAAAATAATCTTCAAAATTATAAAGAACAATAAGATGATATTTACGTTGTTTTATAATCAGTTTGATCTCCAGCAATTGAAGAAACCAATGGTGCAACCTAAATGATTTCAATTGACTCTATCAATACATAAATAAACTAAATAATCTCGTTTTTTTTTATCTCAAATTAAAACTATTATCTCAATGACACAAAAAAGAAATCTTTCATACAGCTTCATTTTCATTATTTTCATCAACATGTGATATCATTGAAGTTGTTTCATCATCAGTCTTAAATAGAAGAGGACGATCAGGATATTCAGACATTGATGTTGATGCTGGAATAACCGATGATTCGGAGAATGTTTCTGATTGACTATGAGTTAGTGAAGTTGACATTTTACTACTTATTTCAATTTCTAAAATAAAAAGAAAAAAAATAATAATAATTTTTGGAAAAAAAAGGCTTAGCAAATGTTTGTTTCTGAATAATCATTTCGTTTTCTTTTTTCAAATTGATAAAAAATTCTATACAATATAATACATCGCAGATAACTCCAAGTATTATTGATTCCACTACAACTTGCCTTTTAGTTAACAAAAAAATTTTTTACTGTATAAAATTTAAATAAATCGTGCACGATGATTTCTATAAGCTTAAAGAAAATACAAATTCTTTCGTTTGTACCAATTAATTGATGAAAAACATAGACATTCATTCATCGAAAAAATTCACCAATAAAAAATCATTATCAATCCTCCTGTCAAATCAATATTTAACATTGATAGTAGCACACTCTCACAATTGCACTAATGATTCTTTTTTTTTTTTTCTGTAAATGGTTGATGATGATGTTTATTGTTTTTTTTTTTCTACCTTTCCTTTTAAACGAGCAAGGAAAAAAATAAGAAAATCATCCATCCTTATAATTATTCTGATTCTATATTTACCTTTGATCTCATATTATTGTATAAATTATTGAAAGGTAAATATTTAATTTATTTCAATCATCATGCCTAAAAAACCTTTGGATGCTAATAAACCTCGTGGACCAGTAACAGCTTATGCATTATTTGTTCGTACATGTCGTGATGAATTACGTCGTAAATATCCTCAATTAACAGTTGATTATAATGTTATTGCAAAAAAATGTTCAGAACGTTGGAAAGTTATGAATGATATTGAAAAAAAACGTTTTAATGATACAGCTGATTTACAACGTAAACGATATAAAGAAGAAATGGCAACATATTTACAAGAACAATCAGCTAAACAGCAACAACAACAGCAACAACAACAACAACAATCTGCAACATCATCAATATTACTTCAAACACCATCAACACAATATCTTGTTGAACCACAACAACATACATTAATTATACCAACACAAACAACACAACAAACAGCAACAACAACAATTGTTACTGTACCAAAAAAAACCAGCAAAAAAACGTGAAAGAAAACCAAAAGATCCACATGCACCTAAAAAACCATTATCAGCATATTTTCTTTTTTGTGCTGATGAACGACCAAAAGTTCATGGTTCACAAACAGGTAAAGAAAAACAGATTTTTAATTCAATAAGATCTTTTAACTTTATTATGCGTGTTCTTTTTTTTACTTTTTTAAATTCTCTATACGAAGATAAAATCTTGAAATTTCAATTGAATAATCTTCTTTATAATATAAAGCTAAAATGGATTAGTTCTTATCGAATAAGAGGAGTTTTTTTTTATTAAGTATAATATTGAATATATAAGATCAAAGAAAATTTTTTAATTAATAACTCTTATGTTCAACAACGTACTTAGAAGGTCAATCTTTTCTTTCTTCAGTTTTATATCTTCTTATTCTGATTATATAATCTATAATTATATTACAGTTCAAATATATGTAATATAATTTGAATAAATTAATTTAGGCTTTTGTTTTGTTTTGTTTTGATTGAAAGAATAAAGCTGAAAAAAAATTTGTTAGAAAGTTGTTTATGGCAATATTTTTGATGAATTTGTAAAAACAATCTTGTCACATTTACTTTATTATATTTCAAGTTAAATAATAATATATGATGAATAATATTTAAAGAAGCATAAAAGTCTATTTATTCCAATAATGAAATCTATTTTTAGATAGTTAATAATAAATTTTAAACAAATTCATAAAAATTTACATTTTTATTTTGATCAATACTAACTTCAGTATGTAAATAATCTATCACAACATCTAACAGAAAAGTAAAAGAAAAGATGAAAATGTACTTGTTTGTCTCACTTATTAAATAATAACTCATAAATTAAATGAAATATTATTTTAATATTTTCATTGAAAAAAAAAAGATTTTTATATTAATTAGTTAAAATATATTAAAACATTGTCTTACTGATTATATCATAATTGTTTTTTTTAAGTCAACATATTGAGATCGATCTTTTTTCGCACTAATTATTTGTTTGTTTAACAGATTGATGAATATGAAAGTCTTTTAGTAATAATATGTTCTTCAGCTTAGAAGAAGAAAGAGTAAAGAAAATAAAAATAGAATTTTTAATTGTCAATTTGAAAAAAAAATCTATTCTCAACTCATTTTTATCATCTAGCATATTGAAATAAATGTGTAGACATGGAAGCGTTTACATATCTATCACGTTAATGTAATAGCTCTCACAATAAATGGAGTTCATTTTCTTTCATTACAATAATAGTCTTAACTAAGACATAAATAGAAAAGATTAGCGGGGGCACTCTTAACAATGATGTCTACAAAAATTTTTTACCTTAATATAATGTCAAAAAAATCTACAATCATAAATATAGTCTTATTTAGTACGTATTTTTTCTTTTCATGAAATAGGTATGTAACGAAAACAATGGAGTCTTATTGTTATTATGTTTATATCTATATATGTATATATATACGTGGTTTTTGATAAATAGGTATGTCAGTAAGTGATGTAGCAAGAGAACTTGGTATTCGATGGAAAAATGCACCAATTGAATTAAAAAATAAATATGAACAAGCAGCATCAGAAAAAAAACATGTTTATCAAGCAGAAATGGCTATATATAGACATCAAACATCAACTAGTACATCACCTCCTGAAACTCCTCAAACACCATTAACACCACATGATTATCAACCAATATTTTCTTCATCTTCTATTCAACAACAACAACATTCACAATTGCAACATATACTTCAACAACAGCAACAACAACATCAACAAAATTTTAATTCATATGATAATGGTGATACTACTGAACATCCAACTGAATTTGATATGATAACAGGTGGACATTCAGTTGGTGATAATGATGTTTAATTCTATTAACATGAAATATAAATTAAACTATTTATATTTTTTTTTCTTTGTTTGATTGTTTGTACGTGATTAACGTGTGTCTCTATTTTTCATTCAGATATCTGTTCTGGTGCTTGTGCATATTTAAGAAGCACGAAAACGAGAAAAAAAACTAATACACACGTCAGAATAGATGAGATTAAATGTATTTTTTCTTTTTGTCCTTTTGTCCGTTCTAGAACATTATGAAAGATGTCTTCGTCAACAGATCATCAACAAGGAAATCATATTCTTCAACCATCGTATATTATGGATGGTACAACATCATTAAATGGTACAAATGAAACATTACCATTATGTGATATTAAAATTATTTGTATACAAAAAAAAAAGGTTTGTATGTTTTTTGTTTATCGGGTTTATTTGGTAAAATGAATAATATTTGATAATTATTCCGACAAAAGAAAGATAATATATATATATATATATTGAGTTGATTAGTGAAATTATTCACGGTTGAATTATTCAACCAAGGAAAAATAAAAAAATAGCTTATATAATTAATCGCAAAAAGAGAAAAAAAAATCTGAATAAACATATTGATGGATTAAATTTTTTGCTTTTGTATATATGACATTTTTTTACAATTTTTATGTATGAAACATTATCGAATGATTGTATAATTAATCATAATGATCAAATCAAATAAGATAATTTCTTATTTATTTTTCATTCTTTATATTCTAACAATCATTCAGTAGAATTGATGGGAAATAAATTAAACAAATGTTAATTACGACATTGATATAATTAAATTTCAATAAAATCATTTCATTATGAAAATGGTAAATGAGTTAAAAATAACTTATTTCTATTGCATGACATTAAAATTTGATAATTTCTTTTTTATGACTTTTCATTGTGTAAATCTACTTGTCATGAATTATTATTGCAAAAAAAAAAACAAAATTAGTGATTTCAGAGAATGACTTGTAAAGATGAATTGAAATTTTCATATATTGAGAATTGTTAGTTTTTATAATACGAAATCAGCCATTTCTATTTGTAAAGACCTTATCTCGAATTCTTTTTTTTGACTAGCTATTAATTTTTAACATGGAGATCATATTATCTTACGGATTCATATAGAAAATAAAATAATTCGAGAAAAAAACTATTTTTCATATTACTCAGTAACAGAATTGCCAGGTCTGGAGTACAATACGTTGAAAGTGGTGCTATCTTCGATGAGTTGTACCCTAGAGTTGGCATTCCAGTCACTACAAATGGATTAAAAATGACTAAAATTGTCATGAAAAATGCTGCTTTCACATCTGTAATCAAGAAATTTTCCCAAAAAAAAAAACTATTCTGAAAATAAATATATCAACTAGAAACCTGGAAAGTGACGTTCTTTTTTAATTTCGACAATTTTTTTCCCGTAAATTAGCGACATCTTACGTGTCCGGTGATGCTACGTCGTAGAAGTTTTTTTTCTTCTATTTCATGTTATTTAGCTCTTGAATTCAGAGTTTTCATTTGCTGAACATTACTATTATAAAAAATAAATGCTACATAAGAAAAGAATGAAATAGAGTTTTCAGTTTCTATTATTTATATAAACTCGGAGTCTCATACAGTACTCTAATATAAATGCAAAAAACACAAGACAGATTTTTTCATTGTCCTGAAAAGAAGTTTAATTCTTTTTGTGACCTTATAGCTTATTGGAGGTTTTACACAATATTCAGAAATCGTCTTGATCCGATACTTTTTATGAATAAGTTAATAACAGCCTCACAGGCAGGATCACCAGCTCAGACATACAATATGTTGAGAGTAGCGTCAAAATTAGCGCTACCTTTAATGAGTTGTACCTCATCCTAGTCGACTCTTACCAACGAAATTCTCCGAAGAGTCCCTTGAAAAATGCAAAATCCTCGGGGACTCCCTGTTGTGAGTCACCGGTGAGTTGTATATCACAGGAACTCACCGGGGAGTTCCTCTAAAATTTTCATAAATATGAATTTTTCAGAGGATTCTAATGGTGGCTTCCTGGAGAGTCCATAGGAAGTCTCTGAATCTTTTCTTAACTCCCGCAAGGACTCACAACAGAGATTCTCCGAGAATTTCGTTGGAGAGAATCGACTAGGGGTAGTCTTCAATCTGATATTTATATTTTTTTTAGAGAACTAAACGTCATATTTATTTAACATTTGTTGAAAGTTGTCCATTATCATCATCAAATGAACAACCATGTATAGAAATAATAGGTAAAACAAATGGTTCATCAATATTATTAAATGAATGTATATCATATGAATATTTTGATACAATTAAAAATGATTTTCAATCATTTATTTATATTTATTTTGAAAATTATACAATATCAATACATTTTTCTGATGAACATATACATAAAAAACCTCTTATTATTAAACATTTTGAATATATGTATAAGAAAAATAATGAACAATCAAATGAAATTAATAAACAACAAATATCTCAAGAATTACCATGTTTATCAATAACTGAAAATATTTTACATACATTTGATATTAAATTAATTCCATATGGAACAATTATATCTCATAATCATATATTAATTGGTCATGCTCGTCTTTATTTTACTACAACAGATCTTTATATATCTTCAATTGATTGTAATCAAATTGATTTAAAAACAACAATTACAAATCAATGTCCATCAAAAGATAAACCTATTTTATGTATACCTTATTTTACAATAAAACATTATGGAAATCGTTCAAATATATTTCTTATTGAATTAGGTAAATCAAATTATGGTAATGGTGAAATACATATGAAATGTCTTTCATCATCATTAGCAAGTACAATACATTTATTAGCTAGTCCTGTTATTGAAGAACGACCATTAATACTTTCATCAGCATTTCAAAATCAATTATTAACACATAAAAGAATGGAAAAATCGAAAAATATTCATCCACCTATACAACTTAATCATGATACAGTAAATTCATCTATTGCTGATCGATCATTACCTTTTTCTAAAGAACTTTCAATTGAACGTTTATCAGAAAATTCAACGAAATCCAATCAAGTAAAATCACGTTCATTATTTAGTTGGGTTCGTAAATTAGTTAAAAATACTACACAATTACAACGATCATATCAATTTGATAGTAATCAAAATCATTTAAATCAACAATCAAAAATTTTATCATCATCAATGAATAAATTTTTTGAATTAAATATTGAAGAAAAACAAATTTCTCATGATCAACAACAGAATATTTTACCAAAATCTCAAAGTACAATTGATTCATTAGAATTAATTAAAAATAAAACTAATAAAATTTCTGTGATCTCATCTTCAAATAAACAAGAAACAACTAATGGAACATATATTGATATGGGTCCAACTATTTCAAAAATAGATTCAGATCAACAAGAAGAAATTCATGATGAAAAAAAAAATAATAAAAGAAATAACAACATCTACAGATATTGGTATTAATAGTAAGTTAGAAGTATTTTTAAAAAAACTTACTATCGTAATAAACTTAAACGCTAGAATTTCTATGAGGAAATTTTGTTTTTTTTTTGTTGTGTTTAGCTACTATCAGTTTACCACCACATGTTCATTCAGCTATTATTGTTGGAAATTCAGTTCATTTGATTGCTGAAGGTAGAAGAAAATTTATAAATGAATTTAATTATTTATTTGATATTTCTTTCTAGAACGAGCTGTTTTTCCAATTGGTCAACGTTCCTTCACTTCTCCTGCTAGTGTTATGCAACCTTTCAAAGCACAATTACATGGACAAACAATTAATAATAATTATAGTAAATATTATTTATTAATAATCGAGTCTATCAATTTATTTAGAATTCAAATAAAAATATTAAAGAATAAATAGTTCTCTTAGTATTTTTGAAATTTTATACAAAATACTAGATTTTAATAGTCTTATCCATTATAATCATGCAGTAAAATCAAGTGTAGAATTTAAAAAAATTTTTGTCGACAGAATGGTTTATTTCTTCTATCAATTCAAGCGAATTCAATGGCCGACAGGTCTTCGGAATAAACGCAAGAAAATGATCCTTACATCATTTTTTTGCCCGGGTGATGTGTGCGAGATCCAACACTATGCTACTCGCATGTCCAGTTGTTTCCTAATCGGATTCTAGATCTATTAAAAGAATGTCATCGATGTATCTTTTAACATCTGTAGTTTCATCTTGCAAAAATTACTGTTAACATTTGTCTTCATAGACCTATCTTCTCGGTCTCATTCCTGTTTACAGTTCATACCTGATCGTTCTAAGCATTGTATTACAAAATCCATCTAAATCAAAAAATTTCTCATTAGTAAAAAGCTATCTTTTGGTATCATCTATGACGTAATTTGTTTAATATCTAATTCGCAAACTTAATCTTCCTTTGTTCTGTGAAGATTGGTTATAGTTTTGATTGCTCAATTTCCTTGTATGGAAAACAACTAAGATCTTCAAGTAATATTCGTTATGTACTCCTTCTTGAAATTTCATATTTAATTTTTACAGCTATTTGCACATCTTTACTTTTTATCTTTTCTTAAATATAGCTGAAATAAAGGGAATAACATAGAAGAAAATTCAAAAATACTAAGAGAACAATTTATTATGTGCCTGCTGTTAGTTGAGAGGAAATTATCGAATTATTACACTAGATAGGAGATTGATCTAAGGCAGAATTCTTCATACTGAAATCTATAGATCTCGAAAGGGTAAATTTATGAGTATCCAATCGGTTCTTTATTATCAGCTTTTGTTGTGTTAGTTAAATGATAAGTAATCAGAAAATAGCTTTGGTTAAAAAAGTTTGTCTGAAATAGTAAAGATTTAAATTGATATATGTGTTAGAGTTATAGAAGAATAAATATAAACTCAATAATTCGACAACAGCAATCGAACGATGAGAACTTCGAATATCTTTCTGATATGATAATATATAAAGCAAAATTATTTTAAAGTCGATCACAACACATTCAACGGTGTTTCGTTTCAAAGAAATATTGATAAAAAGTCGTAAAAATTACTAAAACTCAATAGAATTCTATATAATTTGACCGAACAGATATGTGATTGTGTTTGCACAATAGCCTGTTGTATGAAATTTTGACTACAAATAGAGTTAGATAAGTTCTGATCTCAAGCAGCAATTCGAGGTCGATAGGCCTTAATCCAAAGGATTGCTTAATACTTTTCGGATTTTCCACTATCACCTCGATTTTCTTATTAACCAATAAAGATTCGTATGTCTATATTATGTCACAGATAGGATATTTCAGTCGGTTGTAACGTTGACACGCGGACAAGCTTCCATTATTTGAACCGATCTCAGCACGGATTTCTTCTTCATTGATGGCTGCGATCGTGAACTTTTCAAAGAAAATTTGGTTAGAACAGGATACTCATTGAAGACAAAATTCAAAGCAAACGATTTAGATTAGCTGGAGATATCGGTCACTGTTCAACAATGCGCATCAATTCTTATGTGAAGACTAACTAAAACTGTTTGACATGGAATTTTTATTTGTGACAAAGGCAGCACTGAATTATCGAATGAAGAGTCTGACGTCATGAGATTTGTTTTCTATGCCGAGATATCTTCATCTGAAGAAAAACAAAAATCTATGTTGACATTTTAGCTTCTCTACCTGAAGGCCGATTAGTCCTTGCGATCAGACTTTAATACGCTCTATTTGTGGTCAAACTATAAGACTAAAGGATTTAGCTTTAGATACTTTTTACTTGGTAACAAGGCTTTTTGCAACCACTGTATCAAACGAAACGATATCTGGAATTTTTCTCTTTTGATTGCTGAATATTACAGGTCACTAGTTATTACCGTTGTTGAGATATTGACCTTACATCCAGTTCTCTTTAATTTTGGCACGGACATTAGTAAAACTAACAAAGGATCTTTCTTTCTATTGAAATTTAAATATTTCAAAACATTTATATTTCCACTAAATTTCAATAAAAAACAGAAATCTTTGGAGACTACTATTCCAATTGAACTTTACTTATGAACGCAACATATGAGCTCAAAAATCTTAGAATCATCATTAGAAGTTCCTATACAACGCTCCAAATGTTCGACATTTCAGACGAAAATCAACAAAATTTTGTCGACCAAAACTATTTTCTCAACTAACTAGTATGACAAAAGCTGATTACAAAAACACGGTTGAATAAATATGAATTTACACCAGAGATGTCCATCGCGGCTGAAAAGCTACCGCATCACTGCCCCTATGAACATCTCTGAGTTACACATACGAAGGCATACTGAACTAGTAGATAATGCATCTTAAGTCTGTTCTTGTTAATCAAAACATCTGTAAATTAAACAAATTTTACATTTTTAATTTTCTTTAGCAACTGAAACTAATTTGACATCATGTGTACCAAATAATTCAAGGTTAGTTAATAAATTCTAATTTGTTGTTATTGTTTTTTTTATTATTATTATTATTAATTAAATTCATAATTTTCTTATAGTTCAATTCATCAACCAACATCCAATTCCAATTCTCAACAATCATTATTTCTTTCTTATGGTATAGTAACATTAAATAAAATTCCATTAACATCTGATCAACCTGAACGTCCATCAAGTCCATTATCGGATATTTCAAGTATTGATCGTCGACTTAATTCTGATCTTAGTCTTATGTCAATATCTCATCAACAACAAGCATCAAATATTTATTCATATGATAATATATTATCATCATCATCAAGTTCACATATATTTCGTACATTATCACTTTCAACAAATAATATTGGTGATAATACATCTGGTCAAATATGTACATCAAATGGTAGTATTATATTTTTTGATGATAATTTAACAGATCAAGCAACAACATATTTACTTGGTTCACCACCAATACCATTAACTGATGAACAAATTCAAACAAATTTATCACGTGTTTCATCATTTAATTTACCAACATCTATATCACGTACACATTTATCAAATATAAATGAAGAAAAACTTTCAACAAATGATTCATATGCATTTATTGAACCATTATCTATAAATGATAATTCATTATCTAATTTATTAACAATTCTTACAAAACCTTCATTAATATCAGAAAAAACAATTAATTATACTGATTTACTTTTACCATCATCAAATAATAATAATGATGATGAACAACAAAATATAAATTCAAGTGATCAAAATAATGATCAATCGAATAATATAAATGAAGAAAAAACTGAACGATCATCAACTGTTATTTATACAGGTATTGATTTTCATCAAATTGAACGTCGTGATCGTATTGCTCAATTAGCAGCCACATCACATAGTGAAGATAAAACACCACCATTTGTTTTATAAAAAAAAAAAATTTTTTTTTTTCTATTTATTTTGTTCTATGCAAGTTAATTTAATTTATATTTTATTTTTCTTTTCTTTTCTTTTCTTTTTTTTTTTATTTCTCTTTTAATGTATTCAAGTCAAGTTTGTAAATAAAATTAAAGACATTTTTCTTTTGATTATGTCAATGGTGACATACAACCATACATATACACTTATAGACGTCTGCTGTTTTATACAAGAAATAGAATAATTTCATTTGAAAGAATCAAACAAGAATAGCAACACAAGCAAGTAGAAACATAAGCATTTATGGTAACTATATTGTGCGGTAGGAATATTAAACGAAAAGTACAATAGAAATATATTGTACTATATTTTATATCTATATTGAAATGGTAAAATTTTCTCTAAATAAAATACATATTACGAAATCAAAACTGTAGTGTTGGCAACATTACAGGATATCTCAAAAGTAAGGAAACACAGAAAAAAATTGAGTATCTACATTACGGCTTGAGCAAGCGAGCTAATTTTTTTATATGAATGATAGAAGTATGTTCAAGCTTTATATCCACAAAGACATACCTAACGAGACCCTTTATCAAGTATCACGATTGATCTTAAGAAAAAAATTTTACTTTTTCACAGATAGAAAATAAAATAATATACTTAACAAAGGATCTCTCTAGGCATGCCTTTATGGATATAAAGCTTGAACATGCTTCCATCATTGATAAGAAAAAATTAGCTCGTTTGCTCAAGCCGCAATGAAGATATTCAATTTTTTCTGTGTTTTCTTACTTTTGGGACACCCTGTATTGTTTAATGGAAAAAACAAATATAATTACTGCTAAACATTGTTATTCTAATCAGCTATATAAACTAAATGGGTTATACAACTATGATTATCTTATTAAAATGTATGAATCGAATAGATTCAGTTCGAGGTGCATTGACTGAAAGATGCTAAAACGTTTTCTTTTTTCAAAGAAGCAAAACAAAATACTAAATTTTTGATTACTTATAGAATATTTACTATGTAAATTTGAATAAAAATCAAATAGAAATTTTTCGACGCATATATTGTAAAGTTTTGTTTTAATATATCATAATGTTTCTTTTGTAAAAATGAAAAAGAAAAAAAAATCTATAAAGAACAGCTATTCCTATTATAACCATATGATGACTTCTATTAACATTGTTTTATTATAGTGAGTTGTAAAAATAATTTTAAAACCATTTCGAACGGAAAAAATAATGTAAAATTTTGTAAGAAAATTTGAAGGTTAATTGAGCGATGGAGAAAAAGAAAGAAATTTAAATGCTTCAATAGTAAGTTCACTATATTCATGAAAAAAAAAAAAGTAATTTTAACTAGAAGCCATTTATGTGTATATATACACTTTTAACTATTAGAATGATTTGATTTTTCTTTTTTTTTAAGATTAGAAATTCTAAAAATGCATTTTCTCAAACTTCAAATTCAATATGGAGGTGATATAAATGAAACGATTTTACCGACTAATTCAAGTGATCCAACAGTTGAAGAACTTCAAAAACATATTGAAAAACAATTAAATATACCAACACATGTACAACGTATTATGTTTAAAGGACAAAATTTACATGAAAAACCCGAAGGTAAATTACGACGATATGGTATAACAAATGCAAGTCTTATTCGAGTTGTTGGTCGAAAACAACCAATACGACGTTAATCGACTGTTTTTATTTTTTTTTTTCATATGTATCGAAATTATTTAATAAAATATAAATAAATAATAATCCAAAGACCTTGACAAATGAAGAAATAAAAATTAATTTTTAAGATGAATATTTTGTTTTTCTTTTAAATTAAACAATCAATATAGATTCTCTTAGGACATAAGTTTTATTTAATAAAGTATGTCGTTTTTTTTGTTTTATTCTATACTTAATAATGAAATAAATATGTATGTCAAAACTTTTCATCTCTATTAAAATCTCCAGTATTTATATATCAAGTCACATGCTTTCATTTACATTATTTACTAAATATTTTCATAATAGATAAGTTATGTTGTCTCTTGTATAGATGAAATAATCACAAGTGTTCTCATATTAATGATAAGAAAAAGTTTTTTTATTCGTATTATCATGCAAAAATGAGATAGATAAATTTAAACTATCATCTCTTTTCATTTTTTTATCATTCGATTCTTTTCTATCTTGTTGCAAACACCTGTATGATGTATCGGAATCTTGTAGTTTTCATAGCAAGTTTTGTTCTGTTCAATATTAGTTATACTTGGGCAGCTAATTGGGCAGTACTTGTTGCTGGTTCTAACGGTTGGTATAATTATCGACATCAAGCTGATGTTTGTCATGCTTATCAAATTTTACATAAAAATGGTATTCCTGATTCAAATATTATTGTTATGATGTATGATGATTTAGCTAAAAATATTGAGTATGTTGGAATAATTTTTGTTTTTGTTATCAATCGAAAAAATTTTTTTTTTTTGTCGTTTTAAGAAATCCAACTAAAGGTATTGTTATCAATCATCCAAACGGAGGTGATGTTTATCATGGTGTACCTCATGATTATACTCATCTGGTATAATAAATTTATTATTTATTTATTTTTTATTCTATAATTTCATATTTGAATAGGAAGTAACACCAAAGAACTTTATGCATGTTTTACTTGGTAATAAAGAAGCTTTGAAAGGTGTTGGTAGTGGTAAAGTCTTAGAAAGGTAATTGAGAATTTATTGAATAAGTAGATCAATTTTCATATAAAGACAGCTACTCACGCAATCAGAGAAAAGTTGCAGGAAGGGCTCAGCTCTTTTACCATGTCGATAGACAGGGCGAAAATCCTCTGGAAACGCTGCTAGGATGAACTGAATCTCCTGTAACTTTCGCCTCTACTAAAGATAATGCCATATAGATTATGCATAAAAATAACTCATGTTGTATTTTTGTTCGCGCTATCGCCGGTTTGAATTACATAGGAATTATCTGACACGAAATACTATTTTTCTATTTTAAGTGGTCCTGATGATAATGTCTTCATTTATTTTACCGATCATGGTGCCGTTGGTAAGTTTAATTTTTTGTATTAATATTCCATTGAATATTCTTTTTTTCAGGCTTAGTTGCTTTTCCACATGGTGTTGTATGTATTTCGATGTCTTTGAAAAAATAAAGTTTTGATTATTATTTATAGCTTCATGCAAAAGAATTGAATGAAACAATAACTAAAATGTATACACAAAAGAAATATAAACAAGTCAGTAAAATTATTTTTTTTCTTCTATTGTTTTTTGTTTTTAAATAAATTTTCTTGGTTAAAGATGGTTATTTATATTGAAGCATGCGAATCAGGTTCAATGCTTGAAAATCTTCTACCAAATAATATAAATGTATATGCAACAACAGCATCAAATGCAGAAGAATCATCATATGCTTGTTATTATGATGAAAAACGACGAACATATTTAGGAGATGTTTATTCAGTTGTTTGGATGGAAGATTCTGATGTTGAACAAATTGAGCAAGAAACATTATATCAACAATATTTAGTTACACAAAAAAATACAAATACAAGTCATGTTATGCAATATGGTGATCTTGTAAGAGATAAACAATTTATTTTATTTTGTTGAAAACAAAAAAAATTGTTTTTTTTTTGTTTTTAGAATTTAGGTAAATCTCATAATGTTAGTGAATTTCAAGGTGCAATAAAACAATTATTCAAATCTAATCGTAATTTGATAAAGAAACATTATAATGCTGTACTTCGAGTAGGATAAAAAACAAAAAAACATTCTAAATTGATTCTAATTTCTTTTATATTGATTATTTTTAGCGTGATGCTGTTCCTACTCAAGATGTTCGTATTTCAATTGTTAGTCGTCGATTGGCTGCTGTAAAAGATAATTCCATCGAAAAACAGAAATTAGAACGTGAACTTGCTCAATTATATAAGGTATGTTTTAATAACTGATGAAAAGCAAAAATAATTTTTGCCTGTTCGTTCGAATAACACTCGTAATAAACATTCAGAATTTTCAGATTGATCTACCGAACTGTACTTAAATGTAGAAAAAAGAAGTTCTTCGATTTGAATACTTTCAGAAGGAATGCATACAAAGTAAAACATGAATAAAGCTTTAATTATATCCTTATATTCCTGAACTATAAAAAAAAAATGACTATTAGCGCAATTTCTGCTGGGTTAAAATATGAAACACATTGTTGCTAATCATATGGAAATGGGACACATTTCTTCATCATCCTTTACTTAATCCTCTAGAATTACAATAAGAGAAATACAGTTCATATATTCTAATGAAATCTTAATGTTACACGGTCTTCGATCATATATCAACGACAGTTGCTGAACAAGTGAAGGATCAAGATTTCAACTATGTATTAGCTACTCTCAGAAAAAACTCAACGTACAAGTTGCTGTATTTCTCATCGGAGAAGCAGCGAATCCACAAAAACATGTGACTAGACCCAACAAAAAATAAAAGGTTGAACCCGGACCTGTATCCGAAAAAAATAAAACTTTAGACTCGGGCCCGGGTCCAGATGCGAGCCTGTAAGGACCCACAGCTTCCTACTGTGGTGGTCTCTGGAGACTTCCTGTCATGCTCTTTGGAAACCGTCTGTCATGGTTAGAGGTGTAAGCCGTGCGGCTGAGCCGCCGCTGATTAACAGTAGATGCAATCACTGCTATAAATGGAAATCTGAATAAACAGATGATAGTTCATCCTCAATCGAAAACGAATTAGCATCTATAGTTTTACATGACGCACAGAACATATGATAAATCTTCTATTGGTAGTTCATCGAGTGATAGAAATTCAGCAAATCAAAACAACAAATTAGCATATTACCTCTCTGTTTTCTCTAAATCGTTAAACAATAAAAGATGCACAATAAAAATAAAATCTCCGACGTAACTCAAACTTAATGTTTTGTAGAGATCGTCTTCCAGTCTCTATCGCTAAAAGCTCAGGAGGGTAATTTTTTAGTATCTTGATATCTATCAATAAAGTTTATCTATCCTTAGGGTCGCTAGATCTCTTGACTTCGGACCATAATGACTAGTAATTGATTATTCCTATCTACATTACTTAAATGTAATATCATAATTATAATAACGTACGAGATACAATTATTTCATTTAGTTTTTTGAAACTATTAGTAATCAAATATTGAAATTAACAGGCATTTCTTATCATCTAATAAATTACTCCGTTTCGAAATTTTCACCCGCCGACGTCGATTGACTCGTTTCTAGAGAGCATCTGACACGGTCTGTGAGGATAGTTGCCAATTTCTATCCTATATACTTCAACATTTCTTTTAAGTTGCGTTTCACAAAATTGATTCTTTTGAGTAAAAGAATTTCAATGGACTAGATGTCACTGTTTGTTTTCATTTAGGATCGTGCAATAATAAAATCTCGTATTGAACAAATAGCTTCAACAGCATTATCAATAAATCGTGCTGATTATTTAGAAATTGTTATAGAAGAACATTTGAAATTAACTCGATATGATTGTTATCAATCTGTAATAGAATATATTCAAGAAAAATGTTTTGATCTACAAGTTTGTTATTTTAATTAATTTAAAATTTTTCTTTTTTTTAATTAATAATTTCATTTTAGAATGAATTTGTTCTTAATAAACTTTATATCATAGCTAATTTATGTGAAATTGGTTTATTTGATTTGACTATAAATCAAGCTGTTGATCAAGTTTGCAATGAACGACTTCATTTTGACTATTAATTTGTTCGACAAAAAGCATAATAAAAAAAAAAACATTTGACTACCTATATGTTTTTTTTTACTCTTATTCTTTCCTCTTTTTTTTTCTTTTTGTTCTTTTTGTATTGTGATTCTTTACCTTTTATTCAAGTAAATATATTTAAACATGTTCACACAAACAACGCAATAATTGCAATTTTTTATTTTTCTATACATTTTAACTTATTGTTCGAACATTTTTATTTTAAATGGAAAGTGAATATAATAATCAATTACATTTTGAACAAAAAAATTATTTTCTTCGTTTTAAATTAAATGAAAATTTAAATGGAAAATTTTATCATATTAACAAACATATTCGTCATGCATTGGAATATTTTGTTGATGATTTAAAACATGATCAAAATACAACTATTGATCATTTTCTTAATCAACAATCTGTTAAGGAGATTTTTCTATGTATTGCACAATTATTATTATGTGAGGATGATCGGTTAGTAAATATATTTTGTTTTGAAAAAACAAAAAAAAATTGTTTTTTTTTATAAACATTTTAGTATTTGTGGTAATTGTGCTTATATCATAGGTAGTATAGTTGAAATGGAAAAAGGTTTGAAACAATTTTTATCTACATTTGCTGATGATTATATATCAACAATAGTTGATATTATACAAATATTATGTCAAATGTTAACACATTCAGATTCTGATTGTGTATTAAATGCAACAGGGACACTCGGTACTATAGTATGTAGGTTTCCCACTCTAAACTTGTGATAGTTTTTTTATCTCAAGTATTCATTCTGTTTTGTTTTTTATTTTCAATTTCTTTGAATTAAACTGATACTATCACAAGTGGTTTTATTTTTCTTTATTTAATTTTAACTTGAAAATAAAATTTATCATATTTTATATTTTAGTCTGGTTCAAAAGAAGGACGTAATTTAATTTTAAAACATATTTGTGTTACTCAGTTGATTTTTAATATATCAACATTATTAAATTCAACTAATTCATGGATTGCTAGTAATGCAGCATTAGTATTTGCAAGGTAAAGAAAATATAATATTGAAAAGAAGAAGTTTCTTATTATATTTCATCTAATAGATTAACTGTAGAAGAAGTTGGTTGTCAAATAATTTTAACACATAATAAACATAATGAAATATTAAATCAACTTTTATCTGCACTTGATGTTAATGATTCTAATCGTTCAACAAATATTGCATTTGCTATAGCACGTTTAATTGAAAGAGAAAGTGGTAAGAAAATTTTAATTAATGATTGTGGACAAAATAAATTTGTAAGTAAATATTTAATTTACATAGTGTGATTAAAAAGTTCCCAGAATTCGCTATATCTATTCAGAGAAACGACATTTCATCCATCTCTCTACAGTATATATTCGAGGTAGTTGTTGTGATATTCCATGGAAAGTTTCATCCTTTTAACTCGCTCTTGAGGTATCCTTTTGAAGTAAACAATAGGTATTGAATTGATCCCCTTGGTGATTGCGGGAATTTGACTAGTTTTTTGAACCCCAAAGAGTTGCACAAGCTACTAAGCAGTGAGCAGATTTCATCGGATACCATTAGTAGCTATCAGACTAAGATGTGCTATCGTAATATTGGATGAAAGTCATTATCGAAACTTAAGTCCGCAAGAGAAACGAAGTCTTCAAACGGCATTTATTGCTGACGATATCAAAAATGTCAACTTTTTAATGACATCCATATTATTATTCATCATATAGTGGTGTCTACAGTGGCTAGTAATACTATCATATTAATGATAAATACCTAGTTTCGCAAATAAAAAAAGTATCGTCATGGTCGTGTCCTATCAATTTTCATCATGGCTTTTTGTGCAACACATAAAATATCGTCATTATCTACTTCAACGTGAAAGAAATTTAAGCTAACGCTTGCTAAGCGTACTCACCTAGGACTAGACTTCTGGATTCTGAGTTGTTGAAATCTATCCAAGGTAGAATAGATAATCGCCAGCTACAACAATATAGCAAAGGTTATTACCAAGGGGGTCAATTCAATACCTATTGTTTACCTCAAGAGCGAGTTAAAAGGATGAAACTTTCCATGGAATATCACAACAACTACCTCAAATATATGCTGTAGAGAGATGGATGGAATGTCGTTTCTCTGAATAGATATAGAGAATTCCGGAAACTTTTTGATCACCCTAATGTCTATAAAAATTAATCTTTTCTTTTTTTTTTCTAAAGTTTGAAGCATTATTAATAATGCTTGAAATAAATGAAGATAAAGGTATTAATAAAAATGCTTGTTATGCATTAAGTTGTTTATGTACAAGTCAATATGGTTTTCAATTATGTATACAATCAATAACATTATTTCATCGAATACTTATTGCTATTGAAACAATACTTTTATCAATGGAACATGAAACTGTTTGGTTTGCTTTAATGTAATTGAAATAGTTTGATTATGTTTTTTTTTTGTTTAAAATAAAAATGATTGTTCTTTTTTTTTTTTTTTTTGATTCAGGTGTCTTACAACAATTGCTAAACATATTGGTGCATATGAACATTTATGTTATTCAAAAAAATTATTAGGAATAATAAAACAAGTACAAGAAAAATGGATTGATTTTAAAGATATACAAGATGAATCGAAATTACTTTGGTTTATGTTACAAAAAAATATTAAACCAAATCGACCTAAAATTGATGGTTAAGAAAAATTTATGTTTTTTTTAATTTTTTTTTTTGATGATTTAATTTTTTTTTTAGAATGTCGAGAAACTTCTGTTGATATTTCTTGGGATTCATATATATCAATTGAAGATGCAAATAAAATACAATATCGTGTTATATTAGGTAAAATTTTAATTTTTTTTGTCTTTCTATTCAAATATTTCAATTTGATTATTTAAAAGATGATGTTCCTATTATAAAAACAAATAAAACAAATTATTCTATAAATAATTTAAAATCGAATACAATTTATAATGTAAAAATTCAATATATAACAACACAAGGTGAAAGTATTCCTAGTGATCCAACTGTATTTCAGACGGATGATGAATGTAAGTTTAAATATATTAAATGAATATAAAAATAACCGTCCGACATCACATTATAACTATGAATAGGTCTTGCTAAGACTAAGAAAAGCTTAAGGGCACCCTCTTCTCTCTTTAGTTCTTGAGGAAGGTACAACTGATCCACATGAAATTTTAGAGTACCTAAAATAAGGAAACTTATGACGAGTTCGTTTACGACCACTGTCTAACTTTATCCGATCAAGCTGAAATTTTTTTTAGATTTGCCATAAAAATATTAGCTCGATCGGAAAAAGTTGGATGGGGATTCTAAACCAATCCGAAATGTTTCTTCTCATCCGTTATACTCTCTTCAAGAACCAGAAAAGACTAAAACAAAAAGGAAGGAATATCCTTAAAAGCATTCGGATCCATAGCCTACTGTTGAAGAATTATGATCGTTTTAATGAAGTTTCTACTAAAAGCAAGACATTGTCGAAAGATTCAAAAGAAAGAGTTTTCGAGTTGAAAATATGTTTGTAGGCACATTTGATAGCCTTGAAATTTTTGACAAAAACGAACCTGTCTCTCTTGAGATATTCACTTTTCTAAGTGAACTCAATTGCTATGTTCTCCTACGGTAAACAACTTGTGTTTTTTAGATATTGAATATCTCGAGAAAGATTGGTTCGTTTTTATTGAAACTTTCCGAACTATCAAACGTATCTTTCGAAAATGTCTTACTCTCAGTAAAAATTTCATTAAAACGACTATAAATCTTCAACAGTAAGCCATGATCATGAATTTTTATAAATTTTTCTTAGTCTTGTCGAGTGGTATCCGACAGTTGAAACCTTTTAATATCCTTTATCTGAATTGAAGCGGCAGAATATTTTTAAATGAGATGATGCTTACGAGGGAACATTCCTAGGTGTCTCGCTCCGATTTCGTTCGATAGAGGACCTCAAGTAGGTAAAAGAGTTCTGACCGACGGCTTTTTCTTCGGGAAGTTACGAGCAATTTTCTGATTTTCTAAGCTCCATCAAGGAAGCTCATAGAGAATCGAAATTTGTTTTGATGGTAGTCTTAAGGATCGTTTATATATTCTGAAAGTTTCACAATTCTATTACTCTCTTTTCTCGAGTTATAGAACATTGTTGAGAAAATCAGAAAATTGATCGTAACCCCCCGAAGGAAAAGCCGTCAGCCAGAACTCTTTTACCTACTCGAGGTCCTCTATCGAACAAAATCGGAGCGAGACACCTAGGAATATTTCCTCATTAGTAGAAGTTTGTTTTTTATCCTAGACATAGTTTGCTCATGAAATATATTATACGGATTATGTTGATTCCCTTTAGTACCACCACCGGTCATTAATCTTCATGTTGTCCGTACAACAATGACAGCTGTTCGTATAGCTTGGGAATCACCTAATCTTAGTGCTTGTAATTCATTCAAAGGTTATCAAATATATTTAAGTAAGACAACTAACATCAGGTTTTTTCTTGTTGTGTATTTTCTATTAAAACTAAGAGAAAAATATTTAGATGATATTGAATATGAATTTACTGATCAATGTGAAATTACAATTAATTCATTGACAATTAATACAAAATATAAAATCGATGTATGTGCAGTAACTCTGAAAGGAAAAGGATTATGTACTTCAATCAATGTAAAAACTGATGGTGTTGGTAATAATTTTAATATATATGAAAATAATTTCAAAAATATTTTTCAAATTTCAGGTGATTGTCTTCCAGAACCACCAACATTTTCAGTTATTGGTCGACGTGATTTACATATAAAATGGCAAACACCAGAATTTATGTCTGGTCGATTATTTCGTTATGAACTTATTTGTAATGGTCGATGTATTTATTCTGGTATAGAACTCGAATATCATGCAACAAAACTTAAATCTAATACAGAATATATAATAGAAGTCGTTGTAATTACTAATGAAGGTCGTTTTCGTAGTCGACCAGCAAAAATTCGAACATTAAAAGATGAATGTTTGTATTATATGAAAAGAATAATACGATTTTTTTTTTGTTTTATTTATATAGTTCAAAGTACTGTTCGTCATTCATTTTATGAACGACCAACACAAAGTCCAATTAAGTTTAAACGTGCAAATACAGTTGTTTCACGAAAACTCTCACCAAATATGGAACGACGTATAACAAAAGAAAGTAAATTTATTTGATCAGGAAATTTTTTTTTTCATTTTTCAATTTTTTTTTTTTTTGTTAGTGCCTGTTATAAATCAAAATGTACAAATTACTACTGTTCGTTCTGTACAATTGAAAGTAAAAATAATTCTCTTCATTTCTATATATATATATCTTGTTGTTTTGTTATAGTCAGACATTCCATCATATAGTCGAGCATTACCTGGTCTATGTCGAAATGTACAATCACGTCCTAGTCATAGTCGAGGTTTGTATAGATCTAAAACAGATTTATCTTTACAACAAATATCAGCAACTGTAATTGTTCCTACATTTGAAATTAATCATCATCCACAAAACAATTATTTAAAACGACCAAAATCCTATCGATATCCTTTAACTACAAAATCACTTGAACATTCACCATCAATTTCATTAAATGATTCAACATATGGTTTACGACGAATTAGTTGATTTCCTTTTTTCTTTTTTGATAAACGAAAACAAAAAATAATTTCTACCATTTATTTTGCTTATGATTTAATAGAATAAAACACACCTAAAAAAATGACTAGTCTAGAGTAATAATATCATTAAATAAGTATATTAATGTAATAAAATCTTTTTTGTGCAAAATCCATTCAACAAAAAAAAACCCAATAATATGGTAACCGGACTATTCGTCGCGAACGTGGGTACAGAGATATCTATCGCGGCTGAAAATCTGCCGCTGCCGCGATGATTCTCAAAAAAAATATTTCGCATTTCACTACTGCAATTGTATTAGACCAGAAATATTGGTACTAGTCCATCAGATTCATTCAGTCTCAGGGTGTTTCATTTGTAAACACTGAAATTTTATCAAATTTATGCAGTTTTTCAATGTCCTCGAAAAAAAAAAATGCTACCGCAATGTTTTTTTATAAAACCCTGTCGCTGCCCCACCGCCACGGGCATCTCTGTGAGGGTACACAAAAGGTCCTCACTCACATCAACGCTCATTAGATCCCCCAGACGAGCCATACATTAATACTCTCAATGAAATTTTCTAATCGAAATTGGATAGTCGCTTCGACAATACGAGATACTTTTTCCAGTTTTTTTTTGTATTCAGTGACTAAGACACCCCACATATTTCTCAGACGACTAGAGTCCATTGGGTCCAAAATCAACCGGACAGACTCTAAAATTCATACCTACGACGACTTATCTAATCATCGATATTTAATCAATGTTAATAATGAATTATTATGTTTTAGTAATCATCAAGAATAATTCTGCAGTCTTGTTTTAGATTCTTTAACGTTTAAGAAATTAAAATCATACAACAATATTTAATTATTATATATTTTTTAAGGAATTCATTAGTCCTCCGTACAAAAAATTATTTGTTTACAACATTTGATTGGAGAACTTGCAAATGAAAGTATACACTTATTGTTTTTGTAAATCTTCATTAGTTTTCATTTATTCAAATAGTATATAGACATTCATAGCTGATTTTGTTTATTAAATGGTCATATACTTGAAAAATCAGTTAGCATAAGCTCTACACGATTAAAATATGACAAGCGATGTAGCGATTGTTTTATTCTATGTATTTTGGGACACATTTCTTCGTCATTCTTTTATTTGATCCTTCAGAATGTGTCTCGGCTCGTAGGAGTACAGATTTTTAATCGGTATACTTCAACATTCCATTTGTTTCTGGTAGAACTTTCCCAGATAAATCACTGATTTTTTCTATTCTCTATAATTTATTGCAATCGATACTATTCTTTGGTCAATTGATGAAACTTGGAATATTTATTTTCGACATAATATTGATAAGAATTTATAAGGGCAATAATTAAATCAAAGTCAATTTGATAACTGAATAAAAAGATTTTTATATAAAAATTACCATAAAAAATTAAATAAATTTTTTAAATCGAAATAGTTAATATTTCAGCTGTTGACAACCGCGGATATATTCATTTCCATCATAGACATCTTTCAAATTCAGATTGAATTGAAATATCATCGATTATTTGCACAAATATTTTACGAATTTGAAGATTATATGGGAATTTTAAAAAAATCTTTTTAATAAAGCTAAAAATAAACTGTCTATACCTGAATTGATATTAGCAAAAACAATTGTGTTAGGACATCATGAAAAGTTATATAGGGTAAACGAACACTGAAGAAATCGATCATATTTTTATTCTATTATATGGATTGTTCAGTTCTGGCATACACATACACTATGATTATTGATAAGTGATGGATATAGCAGGCCTCGAAATTGGATAACTTTCTTATGGCCCGGCCTGGACCCAAAAGAAACTTTGTTTACAAAGATTTTTTTTTCTCTCAACAGACAGCTATTTCATTTTTTTCGGCTTTTATAAAAAGTGATGACCAAGGGGGAATAGCGTAGAGAACTTTCCCCGCATCCCTCCCTCCAGGGGTGGCCATATCTCAGAAAAAGAATAAAATCATCGGGCTGAGCGGTCCGACAAAATATTTCGTTGAGCCGAGTCGGACGGCCTGAGACACAGTCAATGTTGAAAAAATATTTCATTAAGAAATTCAACTCGAATATGATCAACGATATTATCATCTGATCATTATCATTCAATTATCGGTTTGTATAGTAAAACAAATAATTTCTATATTTCTATTTATTTTATTACTTTCAGTCTCATAATACAATAGTCAAATCTGACCATTGAATCCTCAACGTCACTTTTTGAAACTTAGCTAATTAAAAATATTCTATTCGAAAAATAAAGTTTTTTTTTTCTTTGTATATTGTTTATTTTTTATGGACGAAGCCATGGATATCTTTCAACTTTTGATGCATCCGGATATATGTAACTAAAAATTAAAAAAAAAAGAAACTCTGTTTGTTTTAGTTAAGTTATCATACCTTTGAACATATTCAGTAGGAGGTGATTCAGGTGCAAGATGAGCTAATGGTCGTCCGGTTAAAGTATAATCAGGTTGTGCAATAGGCAGAGATGGAGAATAAGAGGGTTTTGCTGGTTTTACAAAACGAACCGCAGATTCTGTTTTACCTATTCATATTATAAAACAAACGAAGAATGTTTTATCTTAATTAGTAAAAATTAAAATATCAACCTGGATAATTAATATCCATTCCTGCTTTACTCAAATGTGTATTATGGTCATTAGCATAGACAAATGATTGTGATGTGATATTTTTTCTTGTATTCAAATGTTGAATTTCTATAAATAAATCATAAAATCTACGTAGAATTCATTTGTTGTTTTTTGTTTTTGAAATTTAAAAAAAAAACATTCAACCTGTCGGTTGTGTAGTTCCTATAGAATCAAGAAATTTTTGATTATTATTTGATAATTGTTCAGAAGTAGTTATTGATAAATTATTATCTAAATAGAATATTATCTTTTTCAAAACAAATAGACTTTGTTTTTTTTTTGTATTACGTCGAAAAGAATGAATCCAATCTTTCCAATCAGGTATTGATGATTGAGGTAATTTTCGATCAGCCCAAATCGTATGAACATTTATTGGTTGATTTCCATTACGTGTTAAATTATTTCGATAACCAACATAACGATCAGTAACACCAAGATCATGTGCTAAATTATCTAATCGAGCATAAGAACCAGATGCATATGGATGAAGACTCTAGAAAAAATTAATTTTATTTAAACACAAAAAAAACGATGAAGAATTAACTTGAAGATATTCAAGTAATGAATTACCTATAAAGGATAATTTTATATAGAAAAAAACAAATCAGAATTGATTAAACTTACATGCCCAATTATGTATTTCACGTATTTGATTATGTTCTTTATTTTTAATCGTAACTGTATGAAGACGAGTATTCAATTGTTGACTAAGGTCATTTCCTTTTGAGATTAATTGTTTAATATCTATATTAAAAATAAAATTTCTCAAAAATAAATTTGCTCTATGTACCCATTTTATTTGTTTCTAATTTTTTAGCCGAATTTTTTGAACCATATTGAAGTTCATAATCAAGTTTAATATTATCCAATGCATTATTAATATGTTTTATATGATTAATTATTTCTGATGTATTATAATAACAATCTGATGTTAATATTTGTGAAAAATTTAATTGAAGATTTTTTATATCTTTTCCTAAGGTTTCATATGTATGTGAAAGAGACATGTTGTTTTGATTCAAAAAATAAAACAATAAAAAACAAAAAATGAAGAATGCCATTTACTTTTCTTTTATTGTCACTTGGCAACAGACTTTTCTTTTTTTTATATATATAAAGAAACAAAAAATGAAAACAGATAATACTATTTTTTTTATGTTTCTGTTGATGAAATAATTTGTAAGGTAATATGTCTCATATTAGTAAATTGTATTAATTGTTCAATTCGTCTATTCCAAGCTTGTTTATTAATTGTTTTTTTAGGTGTAATAATTAATATTAATTCTTTTAAATGTATTAATAAATCAATTGCTTTTATCCATTGATAAATATTAATATAGACTAGATTTTTTAATGGATTACAACATTTAATTTTTAGTTTTTCTATATAAGGCATTGTTATTGTTATAAAATCGATTAAATTAATAAATAATTCTGGTAAATGATTAATTTGAAGAGAAAAATTTGAAAGAGATAATAATTTATTAGAATATTGATCTTGAATAATTTCATTGAATTTTAATTGATCACATTCAATATATAATGAATGTAAATAAGGAAGATAATAAAAAAGAGCAACAAGATTTTTCATAGAACAAAATTGATTTGAACCAAGTAAAGTCAAATATTTTATAGGACTTATTGATGAAATCAATGATTTAATAGGACATAAACCAATACCAAGATTTAGATAACATCTATGTAATTTTGGTAATGATAAAATTAATTTAATAAGTATATTCCATTTACTTGATATTAACAAACTTACATTTAAATATTCAAGATAAGGAGCATAAAAATTAATTAAATCAAGAATATCATTTGTAATATATAAACGACAGAGTGTTAAAGACTTAAGACAAGGAAAATGTAATCGTTTAACATTTTGAAATAAATTCATCTAAATCAAATATTTATCATTAAAATCTTGATCTTTTAATAACATGGATATATATCGAAATATAAAAGAAATTTACTAATCGTTTTTGTATTTATTAGGGTTCAATCTCAGGTCCATAGAGACCAATCTCAAATTACAGATCAAGTATATTGCATTCTATGTGAAGATGTTTTATTGAGTCTAAAGAGAGTGTGAGACAGAGATGTTCATGGTGAGCGCTGCTGCGACTGCAACAGTAGCAACTTCTGTTTTCAGAGAGATTGTAGCTTGAATGATTTTGCGTCCTGTTTGAATGTTCACATATCCAACGGTTAGAATCGTGGTGAATTTGATAAGTTTTAATCTAACTATACTAATTTAGCAAGTTACAGAAGAGATTTTTCGAAAACCATTACGACAGCGGCAGATTTCCAGCCGCAATGAACGTCGATGGTGTAAAATATGGGTGCAGTGAAGAACTAAACCTACACTTGTGTGTTTAACTCGTTGGTTTTTTTTATTGTGCTATCTGCTGAAATACAATTTCATATATTATGGTTAACTTTTAACGATCCGAGATTGGTCTAGGAAACTAGGCGTATTATAAATTACTAATCTGAGAACGACCTAAAATTAATATCCGTCCAATGTCAAATTTGACGTTGAACGCTAATGTTTAATTTTCTTGGTATTGAATTTAATATTTGTATTTCATATAAAACTAACCTTATTAATATTTTCCAATCTTAAATTTGAAATAGATTCAAGATGTGGTAATTGTAATAAAATATATTCAAATAAATATTGACTATTTTCATCATTATTTTTTAAGTTAACATGATAATGATAATTAAGTAGAAATTGATTTATTCGTTGATTAAGATTATAAAATCCATTGAATTGTTCTTTAATATTTAAATAAGTGAATATATCTAACCATAATTCGGTTGGTAAATCTTCAATTATAGTTTTAATAAACATATTTAACTATGAATCAAAGAATTTTTTTTTGTTCGATTGTTTTATATATTCAACTTTTGTAGAAACAAAACTATGATGCAAGATAGTTGAATATAAGCACAAACAAAATGAGTCATTAGCTTGTTAAAATATTTTTTACACAGAAAGAAATAATATATGACAAATGATGATGAAATTACATATGGGTTTTTAATATTATTCTTTGCTTGATAGAACGAAAAACCTTAAAAGTTTGTTATAAATAGGCAATAAACTTGCGTGAATTTATCAGTCACTTTTTTATTTTTGTTTTTTAATGATCAATAATGACTATAAATTAATTATTTTTATGGACAAAGTTTTATATATTATCAAAAGTAAGACTAACGGATGAAAGATCAAAGGATATCTAAAAAATCGCACCATCGAAAAACTCCTTTTCAAGACTATTGCATCAGAAATTTTTCAATCGATTTTTATAATTACTATTTTATTTCATGAGATCAAAACACATCGTTTAAATATATATAGGCAACATCGAAATAAACAAGCATAAATATATAATAATAAAAAACAATAGTAATCATTTTCTACATGAAACAAACATATTATATCAGTTACGGATAATAAAGTATTAACATTGTTAAGAGCAGCTTATAAAATATCTTCTGTATCATCTAGAACGTTAGCTAAAGAAGAAGAAGAAGAAACTTCGGTGTACATATATTATTCAAGTAGAATTATGTATTAGCTATATATAAACTAAGTAAATTTAATTTGATCACGAACGTTTAATAAAAAGCTATTAGCACAATCCCATAAAGGATAAGATGTAAAACACGATGTAGCTGCTGTTGCTAATCACATGAAGATTATTTTATTCTATATATTTTGAAGCATATTTTTTCACCATTCTTTTCTTAGACCATCGAGAAATATGGTAGGGAAGTAATTCGTATGTTATAAAGAGACATTATTGCTATACGATCGTTGATTATATATCAACAACGTCTATCACAATCTATGATATGGAAAAGGTGAGGAAGACTCTAAATTCCTGCTTCTATACTTCAGTATTCCTTTTAGATTATATTTCACAAAAACAAAACAGTTCGTGATAGCATCGGTTGAAACACCATCTACTTCTGACGTGAAAATATTGATCTTTAAATTGGCTATTATTCGTTTACATAACTTTTGTCGTTGATATGAACACTGACAATACAGAATCTATATGAGTATGTAAGATATGATTAAACTCATTATCGACCCATAATGCAGTGTTGACATACGGTGTGTTTTATGTTGTATCTCAATGTTCATTTCTATCTACAGTTGTAAGAGTTCATAAGCATAATCTATTCAATCAATAATTCTTTTTGCTACCAGAAAGTTTGTATCTTTGTATGTATTTATAAAAATATTGGCATCAAGAATGTACAGTGAAGGAGTGCAATGCAAAACTTAAACACATGGTGTTACAAAGGGATGTTAGTGGGTGTTGCTGTTGATGAATAGGGAATCTATGAACACATCCCGCTACAGCTACAGCCACACTTTTCTTTCTTTCATATCTCGTTGGATTTCAACTTTACGATTAGTAGCTTCTTGTTTAGACATGACCAATTCCATTGAATATGGATACATTCGTATGTACAAATGAAATCTTTTTTATAGAACGCGGACAAAGTTATGATTGATGCTTTAATTAGTAGAAAGTCAGAGCAAAATACCAAAGTTTTGTTTAACTATCACGAAACTTGTTCAATATCATATGACAACAACACAATATGCCAGTGACAATGTATTGAATAATTAGCATTGCAAAAGCGAATTGATATGTGCCTTTATCACAGTAATTTGACAATGATTTGTTATCGTGCTGTACAGATGTACTAATTCCGAACGTCCACACACTTCCAACAATAGTCCATGCGAAGGAGAACAACTGTAATATGATCATTGAGCAACTTAAAACTGAACTACATATAGGCGAGCTCTCATTCTTAGCCAATATGTAGATTCCGAAACCGAGTATAATAGCTACGATTGAGATAACACCATTAACAATGAGAAAGGTTGGGATGCGTGGTTGAATTGGACAATTATTCGCGTTTGAACCACCGACTGCTATCATGGCAATTGGAAAAGCAAACACGGTTATGACCATGAATGCTCCAAATCCAAAGGCGACGCATCCGGATATAGTTTTAATTGAGTTTAAATTTATCGAAGAGAATGGTCGCTGTGGTTGATAAACGGTTGGGTATGTACCTAGTTCAATTGAAGACGTGGATGCCTTGTATGAAGTCATATTTATCTAAATGTGAAAGCAAATGGTACAGTAACTCGGCTGTTAATAATATATGTTCAATATTTTCTGTCTTGACAATACTTTTCATTAACCATGTAACTCAACACTCTACACTACAGCACACAAAAAAATCTCGTTTCCTCGTTGCACTGACGATGCCTAAAGATTGCCAACGTGCATCGATTCAGCATCACTTCATCTGAATTTCGACTGTTCTCTGTTTATTAAAAGTTGCAAAGAAAAAACTAAATGAAAGACGTCGACAGTATGGCATACATTATTTACTGATTGGTCGTGTTCTGCACGGATGAAAGTCGCTGCTCAAGTGTACTTTGTACAAATACAAATTCTTTTCTTCGTAAAATTCAAAGAATTGTTTCTACGGAGCAAACAAAAGTTGTTGGATTTGCGTCAATGAACAAAGACGTTTCCACAGTTTATTAAGATTTATATAATGAATAGATTTTTTAATTCAAAAGTGAATTGACATCTAGGAACGTTCTTTTCTAATTCTTTCACATGTTATTTTTCTCTGGATTTGGATATAAGATTCTATTGTTCGAAGTATTCATTCATCAATGTCAGAATTTTCCTGATTTATTTACTTTTTTTAATTTTCTTTTGGGATATGTGATTACACATGATTCTTATCGTTGTTTTATTTATTATAGAAAATGTACTTCAATGATTAGATCAACAACGATCGAGTGTGTGTGTATTAGTTGAAAGAATGAGTCAATAGAAGAAACTGCAGTGCCAAGTAATATAATAAGCAACCACATATAAAAATGGACTTTGCTGAGTACAATTCGACGTTTTCATTATAAAAAGTACCAATTTAATAGAAAAATCAATAGACAATTAGTAAACAACTAGTAGGCCGTTACGGACAACACTCGATTTTTATGAAAAACAGATCACATGGGAAATGTCGCCAAGAATTAAAATGATCTTTATGCACCTGTGTATTAGGCAGAAACTACTTAGTTATTAATACAAATGTTCACAACGCTTTTTATATCTGATAATAAAATACGTAACATCCAATTTTTAAGACCTTCAGAGCCCAAAAAATTTTGAGTCATACGAAGTTCATTGTACTTCCGCCTTCTCAGAAGATGTAGAATCTCATGAAACTTCACAATAGACATCTGACAAATACCACTTAATACATAAAACATTACGTTTCTGTTTACTTTCTAACAAAAAAAAAAATTGTTTTAACAACTAAAATTTTCTTAATTTTTAAAGACGTTGTCAATTTGGTTATATTTGAAATAGATAAATCTGCAATCGTAAATAAACTTTCCGAACTTTATTTAATAAACGAACTACAAAATAGAGTAATAAATAGTCACTGGCATTGATATTGTCTATTTGGTAAGTTTGATCTTTATTCTCAAAATGTTATACATAAATTATCAATTCCAGTGTCATAATATCCTGATCCGGATGGATTGAATACAACTTTTGTTATTCCGGACCAATTTAATTCGACTATTCTTTGTGTATATGTATTCAATGGCATTGAAGTTGTATAAATTTGTGTAGAAGAAAAATATCCGGTTATAGTTAAAATCAGTGAATTGGACCAGCCAGCAGCCGTTACAAATGAATTGATTGTAAATGTTCTATTAACTACCAATGTTTCTATTGTCATAGGATTATTAAACCAGCAGACATATTCACCAGAGACACAAACATATGGATAACCACTACCGGGAAGTCCGGTTGCATTTAAATATTTTGCATTTGTCCAGCTAAGATTCTGATAGATTGACGGAATAAAACCATTTTGACCACTTGAACTCAAATCATCAAATGTAATGGCTGTTGCACCCAGTTTGCAGACTACAAAAATTTAAAAATAAAATAAGTTCGTCATAGCACCGATTGAAAAATCATCTTCTTCTCGTGCAAAAACATGTTCAATTATCATTTGTCTTGAAATCGGCTATTATTCGGTTAGATAAACTTTGTCATTTAATTCGAACTACTTCTAGTTATAGGTAAGTTCAGATATAAAAGATATTCTAAGAAAAAAAATAAAAGGTGCTTTCTGGCAATAAAAAAGTTCATACAAAATGGAGTCGCTTGCAGCTAACATGTCTATTTGAGCTTGCTTAGATCCTAGAAGTATTTTGTTTATATCAGGTGAATACTATTCGATACTAATCTAATTAATTGAAGTTATGCTTGGATGAACAAATAATCGAATTTGTTAGATGTCTATTTCTTCGAAAATTAATGAATTTTTTACATTTATTCACCAAATTAAGAGTCCATTTATCCTCAACTACGAATAATCAATATCATCAGAATTCAGGCAAATCGTTGAAGTAAGGAAAAAGTCACATATAAGATGACTACTTTGGGAAAGATTTCTATCTTTCGCTTAAATGATGAAGCTTTAGGATGATACTGCAGTTGTCTAATGTACTTCGACTCATTTGTTCTTTTTTTTTATCGACACGGGGTTTACAACCAACAGGAAACATTTGAAATGTTGCTTATTTTTATTACCATCATTCTTTATGTTGAATTCGAATAAAACAGTTTCAGCGAAGAATAGTCAGTGTAAGTTAGAGCAATCTCTTTAAAATTTCTTGCATAAAAAAGTACGGTCTAAGTAATTAAAAACTACATATCTGTAATCAGCGTCGTGAACTTTATCCGCTCATGTATAATTTAACGAAATCTAATTTTTGTTCAACTTTTGCATTAACGGCACCTTATATATATCTCTCTCTCTGTCTCTCAAATTCTTTTTTTTTCACTTACTTGCTGTATTAGGTTGACATGATCCAAATATACATGTTAAATTCCAATCCTGTCGACACCAAGATGATGAATTACATGTTTTACCGTATGACAATTGATTTTGACACATCTGTCCATTCCAATAAGTTGTTGGTGGAGGACATTGACATTTTGCATTTTGACAAATCAAATAACGATTAACTTGACATCGATCACATGTTTGATTATAATTTAAATAAAATTGAGGTTGATATCGTATACGACCTACTTGTGATGTTGATCCAAGAACGAATGTAATATTGCCAGATAATAAATCACTTTGATATAATTTACAAATGAATGTTATTTCATCGTAGACAAATATTCGACATAGAATATTTAGATTACATTGTTGTGCACACCACATTAATGATTTAATAGTGAAAGTTTTTAATGGAGATTCAAATGAAACTTTGGGAATAAATATTGTACTCTTATCACTAAGTTCTATATTTGATTGATAAATTTGTTGTAAACAAACAATAATTTGGTAAGAAAATAATAAGGACAAAGTAAAATATAATAGAAACAACGTCTTTAACATTTCTTATGATTAAATGGATTCATGGCAAGTCATTAAATAAATGCATCTCTGAGAGAGGAATGACGCTTTTTTTTTCTCATCAATATTCTTCGACTGAGAAAATGAGAAAAAAAAAGACTTTTTTCTGTTCCTAAAATATCAGATGTTCGATACATGAAAGCACAAATGAACGATATTCATATATGTTTGTTTTAACAAAATTAGTTTTGCTGAATTTCTTAAAAATGAGCTTAATTGCTTTTACTCAAACATTGCACACTCGCAAATAGTCAGAAAGTAATAAATATGATATTTTAGTACATTCCTCTAAAACAATTATCGTAAAAAAAATTGAAATTGAGTTAGATACATGGGAAAATACTCAGAGCTTTGATCGTTTATAAACGATATGAGTTTTTATTTGGTAAATCGTTTTTTGCCAAAATTTTTCATAATTTCCGTCATCTTTTGTTTAAAAAATATGCTTTTTTTTCAGAAAAAGTGCGAAATCTTTTTTTTTATTTTTTTCTGTTTGTGGTTCTATGATCGCACATTCTAGCATTCTTGAGGCAGCTCCATTATATGCAATTGCGTTTTTTTTTGCTGTTTGAAATAATAGATGAAACTGCACTGCCTGACAGAGTCCATCTTTTGAATTAAGTTCTTTTCTATTACTATGTAAAAAAAATGTCTCTACAAATAGATAACCAGTTTTTCGAGATATCCAACTTGTCATTTTTTTTCTTCACATAAAAAATAAAAATTTAAAGAAAAGAATCTATCAAGTACTGTATTCTGGTATACTATTTCAAGCAAAAAATATAAATATATGTAGAATAAAGATCCATAGAGAATTTTGAGTAGCCAAGTGAGCTATTTGTGAGTCTTATTGATTGAATATTTTCTGAAAACGTCATTATATAGGTCTGAAAAGTTTAGCATAGCCTCTTCACTACAGTCCCAACATATCCTGAAAGTTTCATGCGATTTGAATGTATCTGGTGCAAGATCAACTTCTGAGGAGAGAGGTCCTTAAATTGATTACTTTACTGAAGAATTAAAATAAGTACAAGTAACACAATGAACCCTCAAATAACTCATTTGGAAAGAATACTGACTTCATTTAAATCTTCTATCAATAGTAAAGACTCACAATAATTAGTTAATGTGTTGTGTAACATTTTACCATTGTTTGAACTTCGACAATAAAGAATTTATGTGAATATATAAGACTTGATTAAACTCATCATCAGTCTAGCATGCAGTGTGTTTTATATTCTATCTTGATGTCCATTCCTATCTATAATTGTCAGCGTTCACAAATGAATTATATGCAATCAATATTGTTTTTAATACAAGTAAGTCGTCATCTTCATATATATATATATATATATACAAAAACACTAGCAGCTAGACTCTATAGTGAAACAGAGCGGTGAAAAATTCAAACGTATGATGCTCCAAAAAGGATGCGGATGAGTGTTGGCTATTGATGAAGAGGGAACCCATAATTGCATCTTTGGTAGCCATAACCACATCCTTCCTTGCATATCCCGTCGGGTTTCATTCTCGAGATAAGTAGCTTTTTGTTTGAAAATGTGAAGATCAAAAAAATTCTATTGAATGTCGATACATTCGTATACACAAATAAAATTTTATTTGAACTGAAATAATGCCATGATGGATGCTTTGATTAGTAAAAAGTCAGAGCAAAATACCGAAGTCTTGTTTAACTATCACGAGAATTTTGCATTATCATTGAATAACAACATAATATGCTAAATGTAGTAGATAATTAGCATAAAAAAAGCGAATTGATATGTGCTCTTATCACAGTAGATTGACAATGAGCTGTTGTCTTACTATACAGATTCATTAACTTCGAACGTCCACACACTGCCAGCAATGATCCACACGAAGGAGAATAACCACAATATGATCATTAAGTGACTGAAATCTGTACTACTCTCACGTGAGTCCTCATTCGAAGCCAATAACTCTGGTTTCGGTACTGAGCACAATATTTAGAATTGAGATAACAGCACTCACAATGAAAAAAGTTGGGATGCATGGTTGAATAAAACAAGTGTCCACGTTTGAGTCACCGACTGCTATCATGGCAATCGGAAAAGCAAAAACGATTATGAGAATCAATGTTCCACAAGTGATGCCGATGCGTCTAGAGACAATTTTAACGGAGCTTGAACTTATCGAAGAGGAAGATGTGAGTGTGGATGGAAAAAAGAAGAAACATCCAGCCACACCACACCTAAACCGATACCGTCCGCACCCACACTCATTCTTTATCATATCTTCATCTAGTTGATTATCACAATTCAGTAAAACATGAAATAGTGATCATTTTCTACCGTTAAATCTTTTATCTTGTTGTACTATTTTCTCTGTAATTTAATAGGTTTCATTTTATTCAGAACGCATCTTCATTGTTATACACTAGCTGATCGAGCTTTCACATCCTTCTATTTCTTTTCATATATTTATTCCTACTTCATGAAGACATCATACGAACTAAACTACAATTAACTATACTGATAAAATTAATCCCAATCTCCGGACTTCAGCATGTTAGAATGGATTTATTTGATAAGCAGATGAACCACACAACAAGGAAACAATCAATATGTATAATCACATTCAGATCATCCGGTTTTCACAACCACATCCAAGAAAACACTCATTTAAACATGGTTCATGACTATATCAGATCAAAAATTTTAATGATAACTAGGAAGACATACTAAACTGAACTACAAGACTAAAATATAACAAATCTCTTTCAGTCAAAACATCCAGTGATAAATTTCCAAAACACTTTCAAAATGAAAACGGAACAATCAACACGCAATAGAAACAACAGATTATCGTGGAACGACTATGTCTATTCATCCTCTTATCCTCACCACTCAAGAGATGGAAAAACAATTGCTTCGCATTGAGTCTTAATTCATCAGAGTAATGCGCATTAATAATTGTTCAGTAAATGTTTCAAAGTGAATCTGTAACTGTCACAATGATTCACCCACTCTATCTTATATTCTTATTGAAAAGAAAAGAAATGAAAGTATATCGGGGGGTTAGTAATCTTTACACATAGATTATTAACAGATGCTATTGAACTTAGGTCAGAAATTTATTCTGTTTTAATATTGCAAAAGCAACAAAAGAACAAAATAGTTTCGGTGAATAATTTTGATATTCACTACAAATGATTTTGTGAAACACGATTGAAAATAAGTGTCGAAGTTGTAGAGCGAGAAAGTTGAGCTCACTCTCCTCCTACCCTGCAGATCGTGATAGACGTGTCGATATGCTATTATGGATTTTCGTACTGTGATCTCGTGGATTTTTAAACCATAAAATTATCAACTTTTTGATTATGGACTCCTGAAAATTTCAAGACACTGAAGTTGCATGTAAATTAACTTCATCGTATTTCACTTTTTAATCCCATAGGGATTGCGCTCGAAGTTTTTTTTCAAAGAAAAATAAATTCTTGTTTTAAATAAATTTTGATTTAAAAACTATTAAATTACCAAGTGACAATGTTTCATCTATAAGACAATTGCTTGATAAGTTCGACAACTGTTTGATGTATCAGCTCGATGTTGTCGTCTTTGTAAATGAATCCAAAGATGTTCCCAAACTTCAGACAATGAGGGTGTAGGGTGGGTGTGGGTGTGGGCGTGGGTGTGGTGTGGGTGGGTGTGGGTGTGG